TTTTTGCTCAGGTAACACTAAAGAAATGATTCTTACTAATACAACTTGAATAAGAAAGCATGAAGTTTAAATTAGCTGCTTTCAAATAGAGCACAAAATCAATATTACTGAATGAGAGCCCTTTTAAATGTAGTTTTAAAACCAGAAGCACTGCATTTTTGAGAGGAAAGGGAAGATCAAATGATAAGTCTAGAAAATAGTCATTTCTATTCCTGGATCACTCTCCCAGGCCCCGCCTTTGAGCCTTCCTCTTCCTTCCCCTCCTCTCTCAGAAGGACATGTGGACGCATCGGGGATTCCTCACTTCCCCTCGGTATTAGTCATCTGTTTCCGCAGAGCAGCAGCACTGCACACGCCCAGTTTACTCGCGCACAGGCTACCTCCCGGTTCCTGCGGCCCCGAGCCTGGCCGCGGCTTAGTTAGGTGCTTTGTAGGGCTGCAGTCAGAGGGCCATCAGGCTTTTGTCTTTTCTGGGGCTCGACTGGGAAAGGGTTTGCCTCTAAGCTCATCTGATGGTTGTCAGCTTCTTGTGGGCTCTCGGGCTGAGGGCCTCAGTTACTTGTTAACTCTCAGCTAGTGGCTGCCCTCCCCTGGCTCTCACTCTAGGCAGCTCCCCACGTGGCCCCTGGCTTCTTCAGAGTCAGCAAGGGATGGGATCTTGCAGCAGCACGACATTACAAGAGTATGTGATATAGCCGCATGGATGCCATCATTTTTACCTTATTCTACCGGCCAGAGCAAATCACAGGCCCCACCCCCACTCAAGCGGATATATTGTAAGAGACAGGGGCCCTGAGGGCCATTCTGGGAAGAGCCAGCCACATCTGAGGCTGGCAGGAATATGGCTTCTCTTCCCCTTTAGTCTCCTCTCTGTGCATTCTCCTACTTAACCAGGAGCACGTTTTCTATCCCTTCTGTCTTCTTCCCTCCTTCTGACCTTCAGAGAATTCAACAACCCTGGGTGACTTTTCCTTTTGGCTGTAGAAATGCAAGAAAAAGATCAGAAACTCTGCCTTGATGACAACTCTCTTGCTACCAGGCCCTCCCCTGACAGCTGGTCTTGTGAGTGTGTGACAACTTCCCTAGCAGGTGTTTCTAAGTCATAATGTGGCTTATGCCCTTTCCCTTTGCAGAGGAGACACTATTGTTCAGTGGTTGAGAGCAGGGACTGAAGCCACACCGCCTGGTGTGAATCTCAGCTGTGCCCTTTATTATCTCAGGAATCGCGAGCAAGAGAAGTCATTTTGTGTCTATTTGGCTGGTATTTACATTTTTTACTTTTCCACCGGCCAACAAGCTGGTGCCACTCTCACCCAAGATGCATATGCAGTTATAGAGGCAATTTGCACTTTATTGCAAAGTACAACTACCTCAAGCCATTTCTGGTCTCCTGGTGGAGTGGGCAGGAACATATTTGAGTTTAGGAGGCTAGCTCTTCTTTTATTGACATCATCATCACCTGGTTCTTGCTTTGCCTCCTAAGGATGAGGATAGTGTGCTTCTTGCAGTATCAATAACGTTTAATAAGCACTTACTGTTTGCCGTGAGCTGTCTTAAATTGTTTGCAGGCATTATGTCTTTTAACCCGTATATCACTATTAAGTTGTAGTACTACTATTACTCCCGTTCTGAAGATGAAGAAACTGAGGCTTAAAAATTAAACAGCATGCTCAAGGTGTTTGGGGCCGACTGAGGAATGCAGTTCTGTGTGATTGCAGAACACATGCTCTTCAGGCCCGCAGGGCACTGCCTTCCACAGCAGCAGCCCAAATCCACTGAGTGAGCTAACTCCTCAGGAGAAAGAGCCTAAGAATCCAAAGCCATCATGTCTGGTGGGTGCAGGAGCTTTTGTCACTTCTGCAGCCCTAATGCAGATGCCATCTTCCAGCCTCTTCGCCTGAAATGCTCTTGCTTTTGATGCCCACCCGTCTCCTCACACCTCGGGGAAACAGTCTTGGCCTCGCCCTCGAGGAGAGACCGTCCATCAAAAAAGGAGTGTATTCTTTTTAGCCAGGTTTTTGTGTGACTGTTGTGGATCTCAACATTGTATGGGAAGCATGACTAAGAAGTACTGGGCTTTTAATAATCCCACCCAGGACTTGTACATTCAGATCATTCCCTTTAAATGCGTCAGCTAAGTTAATTGCTTACATTCTGTTGAAGCTGCCATTGCACTGCATTTTTGAAAAATGAACATCATCTCAGCCACCATATAACCTCGTCCCTACCTCTAGGACTTCTGCCAGATGGTTAGCTCATTCAAGTCCGGTGTTGAAGTCACTTTGTAATTTTTTTGAATACCCATTGTGGTGGGAAATTACCATCTTTGAGGATGAACTTGATTCCTTGAGCCTATTAAAATATTTTCTACTTTCATTCACACAGTGTAGTAGAAAATAAAGTGGTTTTGTTTAGAATTCAGGAGTGACTAACCTATAATGAGACAGACTTTCTTGAGGGCAATAACTGTACACTGGCTTTGAAGGGAAAAGAAGAATACTCAGCTTATTCTGAGCATCGGCATCATTGGAGTGAGTTCTAAAAGGATGACTTTGAAGAAGTCAACGAACACTTTACTTTCTTTTTTCAATAAAAAAATAATACTTTTTATTAGAATAGTGTGGCATCATTTTCAAAATGAACTTCTTTTTAGATAGAAAGATCTGTTTAAATGTTGGTATTGCCTCACCTGTGTCTTTTTTAAAAACAAAAACATAGCTGACAAATCCGCACTGTTGCTGAGACTTGAATGTGAAGCTAGCCTGGGTCATAGGTGCCTGCCATTCTCAGTGCGGCTTTCATCTCCCACAGATGCCTGCTGAGTTCTTGGCATACGGTGTACAGCAGAAGAATTAGCACTGAGGGAAATGATTCAGTTCTTTCAGGAATTTATAATAAAAAACACTCAGTACTTGTGAGAAGAATGCTAACATATGCATAGCTAGAGCTTTCTGTTTCCACATTAGTAAAGACTATCAACTAAGATGGGGATTTTTATTTAACACTTCAGAACAACATAGAAAAGTTTTATATTTTGTCAAAAGCATGATTTGAACCTCTCTCTAAAGTGGTCACATAGGGCCAGAGTCTGAATTTAATGGGCTGTATACCATAATTGTAGTGGTTACCATGAATTTTATAGACTGTCTTACTTGGACTAGTAAAAATAATAATTGCAATTACATTTTGGGAACATACCAGGTATTCTGTGATGGGCACTGTAATGCATCATCTCTAATCTAACTACTCTCTGAGGTATGTATTATTGTCCTTATTTTACAGACTTGGAAACGGAAGATTAGAAGGATTAAATTACCTGGCAAAGACCACATTGCAGTTTAATAGCAGAGGTGGAATTCAAGCCTATTTATTTTAAACCTATAACAAAGCCTTCTGCATTTCCCATCATTTAGAAGACTTCCATGCCAAGTGACCAGGCATCCAAAGCTATAGCTCGTCATGAGCATGTTCCTTTCAGTGCTGGGTGTAATCTTACGAGCCTTTGACTAGTCAGTCCTTCCCTGCTGTTTTTATTGACGTTGGCAAGTTCTTTCTTTGTTACTAGGACACTCTGGATTTATGTGGTGTTTGCTTCATTCTCTGCCTTCTTTTTGTTACATGCACAAACACACACACCCTAATGGTTTGGTTAACTTGAGGTTTCTGTCTCTTCTATAACTGAAGCGACACTGTTTCCCATGGAACATCAGTGTATGGAGCCATTGTACAATCATTATTAATCTTTCTGAAGGACTTAACACTGAGGCTTCAGGCGAGGAAAGGTGGTAGGTTTTTATTTTATGTGTTGTCTACTTGGAGCCAAATGTTCTTCATATAAAACGGGTGATAGTTGCATCCTGCCTGGTAGGAGTTGAGTGTCTTCCTTTGGTTCTCTTCAGTGAAGGGAAAGACAACAGCACTTCTATCCCTAGGTTGTAGACCCTATAATGTTATGAAATTAAAAAAGTAAAATATTCTGAATGATTTCCTCTTGGAAAAAGGAAGGCACTTTGCTGGGCATATTCCATTATTTCATGAATTATAAATCTCCAGTGCTTGAGTGGGACATATGGACAGAGTAGCAAGTCTGTTCATTGGGCATTGGGTGTTCCTGGTGCTGGGATAATGTCCTTGTTGGATCAAAGCATGCCTGACTCTGGCAGATGTTATCATTCATCCACACAGTATCACGGGGCATTGGATCCTTTTCTTCATTCAGAAATGAAGAAATTGAGGCTGGGAAAAGATGAAATTATTTTCCCAAGGCTACTTAGTGGTAGGGCTTTAAACCAAGGTTTTACCAGTGCATTGTCCTTTGGTGGTTTGGATTGCCTAATTATTCACCTTTCCTATTCTTTAAGTTTTCAACAATTCGAGAAACAGAGCAAGGACCCAAATAGGAATCAACACAGATAGTAATGTAATTACTGATAAAACAGAATTAGATAGCACAGTTCAGTTACTTCCTCTCTAAAACATGCATTGGACCCAGCAACCCTGACATCAGCCGGGACAGAGAGCTGCTGGCCCTCTCGGGAGCAGGCAGCCCTTGTCCTGCTTACTGTGTGGAGGTGAGCTGGCTCCAGGGGGCCCTTGCTGCCTCACTGGGTGCAGTGGCTAAGCACTAAGCCAGTTGTTTTCCTAGTCCTCTCAGGAAATTAGTCACTTGCTTTTGAGAAGAAGGAAGGAAGGAAGGAGTTGGGGAGGAAAGACAGAAAGTGGGTTCCTTTAATACTGCTCCCACCCAGGAAACAGACTAAGAATCTCTTCCCAGAAACGTGAGAGTGGGTATTTTCGGGGTTCTCCATTCCAAACCCCAACAGTAGAAATACTGCTCTTTTAATCTTTTTTTCTCCTGGGGTGATCTTTCTTTCTGATTTAGAAGAGCAAGGAAGAGACAAATGTGTTTTGGGTAGAAAGAAAGGAAAAAATTAACATAGATACCAAGAAATGGTCTGTATGAGACATACAACTAATCAGATTCTTTCTCCTTGTGACAGGTGATGGAAATGTACTGGAACAATGGGAGAAGCTGGTAACTCATAGGAAGCCAAGATGACAAGAATTTTTTTAAGTAATCCGTAAGTAAAGTTTTGTTAGCCTTTCAGAATTCCTTTGACTATCAGGTGAATTTTCTCTAAGAATCCATGGTAAAAGAATAGCACAATCAAATAACTTCAAAGTCTAAAGGAGCAAATATTTAAAAGTAAAAAGCAAAAGTACTTCAAAAACTTATGCTAGCATTTGAGAAATTATTCTTTCCTGGCAGAGTGTGTCATTTTAAGTAGTTGGGTACATTAGTTTGGTGGGTAGAGCATAAGTATTTAAAGGATTAAAAGAGGAATCCTTTTATAGTATATCTCTCAAATACACATTTACTTAGTCCTGTTGGTGCTGTGGGCGCCATTTCTTTCCTCTACTTTGTGATTACATTTTGGAGGTAGAGATAATAAACAGTGAATATGAATAAAACTGAGCTCTTTGTCTATACCTTCCCCATATTCTTCTTTGTGTGTGTGATTTTTACACATTAGTAGCTACTAATGTTTGCTAACTATTAGGCAGTTTTATGTGGTTGATTTTGGTTTCATTATGATAATGATAATGTTAATACGTGGTCGCCTAGTGGAAAGATTATACATTTTTGAGTCAGACATTCATAGTCCTGACTCGCGCTCTGTGCTTTTAGTAGTTACTCAGTCTCTGAAAGTCGGTTGAGTCGTTGTGCATTAGATTTGATATGAGTCAATACCCGGGTGAAAGACTTTGTGTCATAACTGGTACATCATAGAACCACAGTATTAAATTTGTATCATGACTTACAGTTTACAAGCCTTTGTTTTGACTCAAAAGATGGACCAGCTCAACTTCTTTAACTGCTACCAAGCAATGGTGGGTTAAGACCTGGCCCGCTGGAAGGAGAGAGGAGAGGGTTGTAGTGTTTGCAGGTTTCTGTGGTGTAAATACTCCCATCGAGGCTGATTGCGACAAAAGTCACCACAAGCACAGTTGGGAAGTGATGTGCAGAAGCACACCCTTGCAGAGTTATCTACCAACCAGATCAAATAGTTTCAAATAACATCAAGAGCAAAGGTGATAGGAAATAGGAAGTGGCGAGTTTTGAGTGTTTATTATCTTTGTTTTTATATAGTTTATTTCAATTGTATGTTTATATAATTTGACTTTTAATGATGGCTGTGTTTAACAACTGGCTTGCCCCAAATCCTGAGAAGATGATGGTTGACTCTGTTGGGCTGGTATGAGCTGGCTCCAGCTGAGTCACAGTTTTCAATGATCATCTCAGCCTTGGTGGTATGACTTTGGTTGGGTTGATAAAAGCAAGGTTTGGTTTTGAATCCTTGCTTGTCAACTCAGGTTGTCATGCTCACAGAGTTTCTGGAATTGAAGATCAGTGCTGAGGCCAGTTCATAAGTTAAGCCACTTACCTTAAGAGTGTGACTGGAGTTCTCAGTCAGTGTTGAGGCCAGTTCATAAGTTAAGCCACTTTTCTTAAGAGTGTGACTGGAGTTCTCACTTTGTAACCAGCCCCTGGCACCCCTTCCCTCACGGCTGTTGAGTGGCAGCGCTTGGGGATAAGTCAGTCTCTTTTGAACATCCTCCTCTCCCTTCCCTGTGCTCTCTCGCATCTCCCTTTCCTCCAGTGGTGACACAACAGGGCCTAGAAGCCGGGGTTCCTCTGACTAACTTCCGTGTGAGGCTTTGCTTTTTGATTCGGAAATTAAGTTTTAGTGAAAGTGAATTGTCTTCAGAGAGAGAGAGAAACAAAACTAAATCTGGCCGTTTAAAGTTCACAGGGGGTTGATTAAAATGCTAGGGAATAAAATAGAGGGAACAAGGGAACTGGATCAGGTCTCTCAGTGTTTCTTTTAGAAGCAGTTTCTTCGGTTTTCTGACTTGCCCTTTAGAAGGGAACAATTGAAGCCTGAAATTGCTAAGTAACAGCTATGATTGTAGTGGTTGTTTTTATTTCAAATCTCACCCACCTAGTTTTCAAAACACATTTTTTTATTGAACCTTTCAAAAATGCCTTGGATATTTCAAGACACCCATTTATGTCAGTTCTCTTATGTAATCTTAAAACATTTATTTTCCTTATTTCTTCTAACTCAATAGGTATTTACAGTTCCTACTGAGTCGGGGATGGGCTTGGATTATTGCAAAAGTAATTCTTGTTCATTTCAAGCGGAAACTCGTGAATAGAAATCTGAGAGACTTGCCTCTGGGTTAGGAAATACTGACCTCTGTCTTAATTGAGTTGAATAAGGGTATCTTTGGTAACTTGAAAAGTAAACATGGAGGTAATAATTAACAGAGAAATATTCTGATTTATAATTTCTCTTCCCAGAATGGACCTGATGTTATTTCTGAACACCCCCAGCATAGATGAATGTTTGGTTAGAGAGCTGTTAGGTGTGTAGTCTTCAAATATGTAAATTTTACAGTCTAGCATTAGGTTAAAATCAACACTCAGTAGTGTGCTGGGTATTTGGGAATCTTGGTTGTGAGGGTGAATTTCAGTACCAATAAGACAGGTTTACTCCATTTTGAGAGTTGATAATCAAGCCTGAACATAGGAAGTTATAAGTTTAAAACAAATGTGGTTGATGTTCCAAGACATATACAAGCTGGGACAAAAGTAATTTTACAGTTGTGAGTATCTGAAACACAGTTATTATTGTATAATTATGTATTAATTATTGTATTCTTTTTCATATGAACAATTGTAAACCTACTTTGGCCCCACCCTGTATGTTTTCATGGAATTCATGACAGGAATGTGAGGGAAATAAATGTGCCATTGCTTTTTTGAGTAGAAAAGTTATATTCTGGGAAAACCATCTCCCAACAGTTTAGAGCAGTGCCACCCTGTATTAAATACTCTGGAAACAGACAGATGAGTGGGAGGGTTTCAGGAGCCGATGACATTTGAATTGGGTATGTAATGATTAATGCCTTTTAATTGAAATGCCTTTTAAAATTAACAGTGCTAATTGGAAAGAACTTTAAAAATGTAAAAATTATCAACAGTAGAAAACTCATCAAAATTATCATTACCCAGAGAAACCATTATTGTTTTTTTGTGTGGTCTGCCATGTTCTCTCTATGCCTAGATTAGATACACACGATTTTTCTCCCTAAAATGGGTTGTTATATTGTTTAGAAACCTGCTTTGATTGACAATATACCGAGACCATGCCACATCAACAAATATTCATCTACATCATTTTTGTTAGTGTGAGATAGCATTCCATACATAGGTGGTTTATAATGTATTTAACTCGTTCGTTATTAGTGGGCATTTTAGTTGTTTTACTTTTCCCTGTGATGGACATCTTTGTTTATGGAATAGTGGTGCACTTATCCAATTACTGGGCAGGGTCTTTGTGTCATTACTTCCCTTTAGTTAAGCTTCCCTTTCCCTTTCCTCCTTAGCATATATTTGCTATACATTTTATTTGTAACACATGCTAGACTTCTTTATTCTCCACTTGTATTTTTAGTGAAACAATTCGTAGTTTAGTGTATATGTCCTTTCTTTTGGCATATATTGTAAACTCTTCATCCTCACAGATGACATACCTTAAAATTTTCCCCATAATATAAATTGGTTAACACACTAGTACAACAAATTAAACTCTTAGTAAACTGTTGACTGTTTTATTTGATTTCTCCCCTCAAGTTATTGGTTCTTTTTTCCATGATATGAAGTGGAGTTCATTATTAGTCAGAGTGCTCCTTTCTTTTCCTTCTTATTTGATTTTTATTGTGTCTGTCTGTTTAAGTCTCTGCATGGGAGAACCAGTTTGTCTGGGCTTAGTCATACCTTACCTCAATTTGGAATAATTTGGAGTTTGCCAGTCATACATCAAGTCACATGTCTAGTAATCTGGCAGATGTTAAGGAGATCTAACTTAGTTTTATATTCCCAGTGACTAGTTCTGGCTTTGGGCCATGAGTGAAACCAAAAGATCCGACAGGTCTGCCTGACGAGCAGTTTCTGGGTTAAGACCATATACAGAGCTATTCCCTTCCTTCATGATTGTGAATCAGCTGTTTTCTGGTTTGTTATTTCTGACCATTTCTCCACTTTGATTTCAAAAGGCACAGGGTTAATGTATTATTAAAGTCCCATCTTGAACCAAGGACTTTCAGAAAGAAGTGGTTGTCGGCCTCAGTCAGACAGGAAGGAGCACTCAGAGAGCTGCATGGCTCAGCAGTGATGGTCTGCCCTTTAGGTTGGGTAGTGGGTTTATAATTATTGATTTTAATGTTATTTTTCCCTGAAAAATATGCTAATGTATTCTCTTGCGTGTATTAAATACTGCATAACCAAAAAGTTTTCCAAGTGTAAAACAGTTAATGAGATTAAATGCATTAATTGCATTTATATTGGCAGAACTGAGTCACATTTAGTCAGTTATTTTTGCATTTTTAATTTTCTTTTAAACACCTCAGACAAGTGTTTTAATAGATAGTACTCTCTTTTTTCTTTTTGTTTTTTTAGTTTTAATATATCTTTATTGATTTTAGAGAAGAAGGGGGGGGAAGAGAGAGAGAGAGCGAGAGAGAGAGAGAGAGAGAGAGAGAAACATCAATGATGAGAGATAATCATTGATGGCTGCCTCTTGCACACACCCTACTGGGGATGGAGGCCGCAACCCAGGCATGTTCCCCTGTTCGGAATCGAACCCAAGACCTTCCAGTCCGCAGGCTGACACTCTATCCACTGAGCCAAACCAACCAGGGCAGCACCCTCTTTTTTCAACAAGGCAACATGAATTTTTTATGAAGATGCTGTTTATAGACCATGGGTTTTCAGATGATCTTCATGTAAGGACAAGAAGTATCAGTTTAGTTCAAGGCTTACTCAGAGAAATGTTTTCTTTTGTTCTGCCAGAGACATGCCTTCCCAGGAAGATACAGAAAGTTAATGTCTGGCTATTGGCTCTGACTGCCCACTGGTCCCTTCTCTACACAAAAATCTAGATAGTTACGGAGTCTGAAACATTAGCTCTCAGTCTCCTCGAGTGTAAACCCATGTCTGTCTCGCTGCTGTGAC